ATGCCTTGGAAGTCTGTTGACTTAGAGTAAAATTTAAAATTATAGTGTGCGTCCTCTACCTTGCCAACATCATTTTGGGTAGTCCACCTCTCTTCCTTCAATGCAGATCTGAGATAAACGTATCTATATCTACAAGAAAATCCCACTAGGATTTTGGTTGCAGTTGTATTAGCACCGCAGGTTCCGCTGAGAAGAACCGACACCCTCAGTAGACTGAGTCTTTCACCCTGTGAACTCACGATGCCCCTTGACCTTCTCTGGATGACTTTGATTTTTCCCAGAAGTATCTGATGATGCTATAATTTTTGCTTCAATTAGAATAAAGATATTAAAGAACATGAGAGAGAAACAAAGTTCATTTTTATTACCTATTTACTGTTATCTCTTCAAAGCTCACACAGTAACTGTCTCCTTACTGTTTCTATCAATTTTAAATTATAAAAATCTTAAACTCTCCCTGATCCTTACTGGTCTCCTGCACAGAATCACTCTCCTTAGCCAAACAGAACAGCAGAAATGTTTTGCTTTGCCTTCTCCCCGTCTGGATTTACTAGGTTTACAAGGCTGTGGTGATGCAGCCACAGGGAGCATAAATTCAGCTCTGCTTTCTTTCCAGGACTGTGTAAGGCAGCACAGCCAGGGCTGAGGGGCCCCTGCCTGCAGAAACCCTAGACGACGCTCTGCGTCCTCAAGTGTTCTTGGGACTGTGCAGCCCAGGTATCCTTGTTCTGCCATGGGAAATATTTCTGCAGTCTGAGCCAAGTTCAGTATCTGGTTCCTTGTAGCTGAAAGAATTTTCTGATACCAACAACTCCAGAGTTGCACCCCTGCTTGTCAGGGTCTTCACCCACGCCTGTCCTGTGCTTTGGCCCTCGCAGCTCCTTTCCTTGTCTCTTCTCTAAGGCTCAATGCCCTTTAAACTTGCTTCCTCCCCAGCCCACTCAACTGCCCTCCTGGGGCCAAAGGCCATCTTCTCAGGTCAGTTCCAAACAAATGCTATTTCCTCTACGTTGCTCTCCAGCTACACACACGTGCACGCACACAGGCACACAGCTATGCAACACTGATTTAAAGCATTTGCATAACTGAGCATGTTGCTGAATACCAACAATAACTAAGGTTTATTGAGTAGTTATTTTATACCAGGCGCCATGCCAAGCAATTCATTTACACTCTTTTAATCCCCATGAAAAAGTTATAAATTAATTACTCTCATAGTCTTCTTTTATCGAAGATAAAATGAGGTTTTACTGAAGCTTAATTTCTCAGAGTCACACAGACATCTGGTAAGGAGCACATTTATTAACGTCCCCACCAGGTCTACTCTGGAGCAGAGCTGGTGCAGAGCACATCACCCAGAAGGTGCCTGCCTGCGTGGCAGTGTGGGGTCACTTCCCTGCTGCTGTGCACGGTGTGGTGAGGAGCAGACTGCCCTGGGTTCACCGCGCTGGGTGGGCACAGGCAGCCCTGCCGCTCCTGCATTGCGTAGCCCTCTCCCCAAACTCCAGCTCTCTCATCTCCAGGCCAAGTAGGGTGTACATTCAGACAATATTCTGCAAACAGGTCTGGCAGGCTGGGGGTGGCAGTGCAAGGGCTCTGATGGTGGTGTTGAGACACATGACGGAAGCGGTCGTTTGCATCTGGAGGCATGCTGGTCTCTTCCAGGCATGAGAACTTTGCAGGTTCTTTACATAGAAGGCACCCAGTGGTCACCACTCCCATGTCCTTTCCCACCACATCTCAAAAGGCCACTGCTGCATCCCTATAGCATTTATCAATTGTGAACGTTAATGTTTACATGCATATTTAATTCCCACATTTTTGTCTAAGTTCAAATTAAGTAATTCTAAACAAAAGTTAATTGTTTTATTTTTGTAGCAGTAAAATATTTGACTATGCTTGAAAAGAACTGGACAATGTCGCTAGGTGTGGTGAGCCCTCTCTTTGAGGGTTCAGCTCCCACTACCACAAAATGAAAACATGGAAGACCAAGCTCAATTTGATTATATTAAAAGGAAGTATTATGGCTGGTATCTAGATGTTCCCACAAAGCCTCATGAGCTTATAGATGGGGTTTTTCAGAAGTGGCTGGATCTAAAGTGTGTGAATATGGATTAAGAGTGTGTGATAACTAAATCAGCCTACTGTTTGGTTTAGCATAGTTTTGGGCAAGAATACTGAGAAGGCCTACTCTGGGTGGGAGTGGCACCAACCAACAGGATGGCAGCCTGCACGGGATGAAAGGGAAACCAAAGCTCCATGATGCTTTCTCCTGCCTGCCCGGTCATGGACTATCTCCTCTGCCATGCTGCTCTCCCTCGGGGTCAGCTGACTATGGACTGAAATTTCTAGAAACTGTGAGCTAAAATAAGCTTTTCCTCCTTGAACTTGTACATGTTAGGTATTTTGGCCCAGCAACAAGAAAGCAACTTGAGACAGAAGTGTTATTCCAGCACTTAAGGACAATCTGACATTTTCAAATGGAGAATTCCATATGGAAGATGCTGGATAAAACTCTAGAGGGCTGGGGAATCCTGACACTTTCTGAGCATTATAAAAAGTCTCAAATGACACAAGTTTGGGGTGAAGTTGAGGATAGATGAAACTGGCAAAAGTGAGATGCTGCATGGTCTATGTGTCACCCCGAGATAGTAAGACGTATGGAGCTTCGTCAGAGGGCTGGGTGAGCCTTGACGGCAGTGGCCAAAGCTGGAGCCATTCCAAGAAATTTAGTGCCTCAGGAGTTTCTTATAGGCAAGATTTGAAAATATAGATCAGACACCCTAATTCAAATATCCAAATTTTGAAATGTTTTGAGTGCCAACACAGGTCAGAATTTTTATATTCTGGAGCCTTCAGATTTTGATTTCCAGATCAGGGATACTATATGATAAATCCTGTGCAAATATTCCAAAATCTGAAATACTTCTGATCCAAGCATTTTGGATAAGGGTACTCAACACGTAACCTGATAAGAATGCCTTAGGACTGGAGTGTGAATGGTTCTAATGGTTTAAAATGTCACCATGAAGATCTGTTAATCCAGTGGAAACTTCTCAGCTGAGGTCCAGGGGAAGCTGTTATGGTTTGCATTAAAAATGTCCCCTCAAAGGCTCACGTTTGGGGGTAGAGGTTTTGAAAGGTGGTGATTGAATCACAGGCACTACCTCCTCAGTGGAGCAAACCACTGTGACTGCACAGCTGAACAGGCTGTTAGGAGGCAGGTCTTGGCTAGAGGGAGTAGGTTGTGAGGTACAACCCTGGAAGGTTTCATCATGTCCTCCTGGTTCTCCCTCTTGTTTCCACTCTGGCCACAGTAAATGGGGGTCATTGCTGGCCACACCATTCTTCCATGGTTGCTGATCCAACTCCAGGACCCAAAGCAATGGTGCAAATCACAGACAGAAACCATAAAGCCTAACCACCTTTTTCTCTTTTCAGTGGCTTTTTCCAGGTGTTCTGGCACAGCCACAAAAATTCAACCCAGAAGCTCAAGAAGCAAAATCCACAAAAGGGCTGGTCTCTTTGCTATGAAGAACACAGCCCCATGGTGCTGTTCGTAAACACAAGTTTCTAGGGGATGGTTTGCAATCAAAGCTTTGTTCCTCCTTGCTCAATTTACTGTCAAAAAGAAATGTGACACTGCATTCTTGAAGGGCAGCTGAGGTAAACCCAGCTCAGTCCCCCTCTTTGAGGACAGTCCCCTCTACCAAGTCTGGCACAGTTTCTCCTGCAGCGTCTCCAGGTGGTCTGTGGTGTCTGAATGGCTGGGTTTCCACCCCTGTGCTATGGAGAGGGGGACCCCCAGCCTTCTGCAGGCTCTGGCACCCTCACCTGTTAGCTACACCTACTTTATGCTCAATAGGGATTTTTGTGCTCAGAGGTGTGTTTTTGGGAATAACTAATCAGACTGGCCTCTGGAAACAAGGTCACCACAATGAAGTAGTATGCTTCCATACTTCTTTCACTCGTGTGCCAGGCTTGTTTAAATACTTAGCAAAGAGCCTATCGGAGGCTTTTCTCCTTAGAGAACTTTAACGGTCTGCCCACCCGGTCTTCAAGACATCTCCACGAGATATGGCACACGAACGGTTAGTGCTGAGATCAAAGCAACACGCTGCTGGGATTGTGAACACCTTTGCAGAGCAAGCTGGGCTGAGCCGAGAGCACACAGCAGCCACCTGAGCAGAGCACCACACGGAGCTCAAAGGAAGCCTCCGACTTTGGAGGGCTGAGACGCTGTTCCAGGGCTTCCCCCAGTGGGAGGGAGGCGAGTGGAGGAACAGGTGGGGGCAAAATGAAAGGAGCTGCAGCAGCTTAGGAGCAGGAGGCTGAGTCAGGAGTGTGGGGGAGACTTGAGGGCAGTGACCGAAGCTGTGGCCCAGGCTGCTGGGCAGGAAATGGGTGGGCACCAGATTGATCCCAGGTGGATGTGAGTGAGGGAGAGCAGGGCTTTCAGGGGAAAGGTTCCCGAGGCCTGGCCCCAAACTCTGCTCCTGGCTAACACTGCTCTGGCCTGACTTGGGTGCTGGATTAATGCTGTGCTGGGCTCTGACTGGACACTGGGCCACACCATTGTGGACAGCAGGCCATCTCATTCCCTTGGGGCTCGGCACACCAGGCCAGTCTCGCAGATTTCTCTTTTCTTCAAACCAGCTAAAGAGAGTGTAAGGAGAGGACACCTCAGGAAACAGCCTCCTGCAAAGGCCTCATGATGAGGCGGCTCTGAGTTGGAGCCTTGCCTCTCGGGAGGTGCATGTGCGTGTGTCTGCATATGCAGACATGTACAAGAAGCCAGAAATTCACTGGCACGAGCAACTCAAGAACCTGTTTCTCCACAGGCCAGGGACAAACATCCAACAACCCAAGGGCATTTGGAATATTACTCTGAGAGAAACCGTTTCAGTTCCATACTGGCTTGACAGGACAAATGACTGTAAAATATACTGTTGTGCGTTCCTAACCCCTTATTAGAAAGACCAAGCAATACTCACATCAGCTGCTTATTTCAATGTCAAATGTTTATTTCTATGCCACAGTTGCCTTAGCACAATTTGTAAAAGAAAGGAATTTTTAAAAAATGATTGTTTTTGGTCAGGATATTTTCTCTGCAGGTATAAGAAAAAAATGAACACCTTGGTACCACAATTATCATTTCTTTCACATCATTCTAGTAAGCTGCACCTCATGATCTCCCTTGAATGTTACTCTTAAGATGGGAAAATATCCACAGGAGAAAGAATCTGATTAATCATGGGATAGTCATTTTCAGAGACTTTGTCTAGAACATTGTGGGTTTGGTACCCTCTATCACTAACTGTCATGTTCATATGCCTCAATATAACAGCCATATTTTATTACATAAAACCAAGTGCGCTAGAAACGAGCAAAGTCAGAGACAAACTGGTACTGGGTGTATGTCAAATCTTGGTGATGAGCTAGGAGCTGGAGTGTGGGATGCACATCTCCTCCAAACCAACCAATTCAGTCGGCAGGAAATGCGCTGGGCAGCGCCAATCTGCACCTCAGCAGGCGGGCATCTGACACAACAGAGACAAATAAACCAACAGGGTGCTCTGGTTTCTCAACCGGCCCTGCATGCAGGGAGCCACGCATTGCTCTCTACACAGCCTGCCCTCGCCTCATCTGAGACGCCTCCTCCCAGATTCTGGGGCACAGTGGGCACTGTGTCTCCGCCTGTGCGGGTGACTGCAGGGCGTGGCTGTCACACGAACCCCTCAGCAGACACAGGGACAGATGAGCTTCTTTAAGTTCATGCACATTTTATTGAGTAGTAATATAAAATGCTTTTCTTTTTCATTGTTACAAGTGCATGCTTTGATCGCCAACATTTCAGAAGTCAAATTACAAAGGCAAGGCTTTAGGCTGTAGTGAATTACCTGGGCACTTATACAATTGTTAAAAAATATGAATGGACTTTTGTTATTTTTGTTGTTTTCAGAATGAACCAGTTGTCACCCGTAACTGATATACAAAGGGAAAAAAGTGAAAAAAAGAAATAGTTTGTGGCACATGACAGAACAGAACGAAATAACTAAACTGTCATGATATTAACAGTTACCATGCATTTAGTTTCACATGTAACTACAAACTTATTAAATTTCACAAGGTTTGCTAAACATGCTAACCATCTATGTGTGCACTGACAAGCTTATGTTAAAAACTTTTTAAGAATACTCTCCCCTTTAGATTTTTTCAAAGCTTTTTGATTATAAAATTTCAAAGGCATTAAGCATTTTAGAGAATATAAAGTACGCCAGGATACATACATTTCCAGTACATGTCAGACCACTAAGTGCGTTACAGTCCCATACAGGCCAAAACAGCCATTTTTTTTTTTCTTAAAAAACATGCATAGGCAGATTTTTTTTTTTTTTTTACAGAATATAGATGCTTTATCACTGTACTTAATATGGTGTCTTGTTCACTATACTTAAAAATGCACCACTCATAAATATTTAACTCAGCAAGCTACAACCAAGACTTGATTTATCAACAAAATCCCTAAATATAAACAGCAAAAAAAGATAGGTGTAATTTCCAGTTATTTTAAACTTAAAGAAAAAGGAAAGATACTCACTGCTAAATTAAAAGGTAAGTGTTATAATAGAAAGAAGGGCAGTCAAGCATACTAAAGAAACCTGAGGTAAGCATAATCTGTACAAAATTAAACTGTCCTTTTTGGCATTTTTAACAAATTTGCAACATTCTTTTTTTTTCTTTTTCTGTTTTTTTTTAAGACTGCCTAATTCAGTTTAGAGCCATTGTCTGACAAGAGTAGCAAAACATTATCAATAAATAGTCCTTATTTAGTTTGTACATCAGTTTTGTTAAAAATGTTTGATGTCATCCATTTTAGTGCTGCAACTGTAAACGTACAATAGAGTAAGAAATTAGACAAAATTTCCATGTCCAGTAACAGAATAAAAGGCCTTTCATGAACCTACATGGAAGTCCCCAACGCAGCAGGAAAAATATGTTCACCTCTAGCATCGTGTTATATACTAGCGTAGCTCTCTTTTTTAAAATTTTTTCCCTAGAAGCATTTTTAAAAGGCATACCCAAAAGAGGTGCTTAATCACTGCCCTCACCAAATATAGTTTCTTCTCTCTCCCCCTCTCCTTTACTGATTGTGTAAACGAAATCGAACGCCTGGCCCCCAGAGCACACAAGATAGGTCAGAGGCAAGAACACACCCTCGGGCACGCAGCAATCCCCATCATGCCCTGCAGCTAACAAAAAAAAAAAAAAAAAACAAAAAAAAAAAAAAAAGGAAAAAGGGGTGAGCAGGAGGTGGTCACTGAATATTGCTGCTGTTGCTGCCGTTGCTGTCCGTGCCGTTAGTCTCTGAGGCGAGGGCCTTGTTGATAGAGTTGAGGTTGGCGTCCGAGGGTACGGCATCTCGGCGGGGTGGCATCCTCTCATTAATCCGGTCTAAGCCCTTGGCCTCCTCGAAGCTAGTGATCTTATGCTGGGGCGAGAAGCCTTTGATAGCTACACGGAAAATCATTAAAGAAGAGAAGGTGGGTTAGCTGAGGCATCTCATGAGCGCGGCGGCTGCAGCAGGGAGGTCAAGGACTGCGCAGTGGGTAGGAATCCTTTAGTGGAGAACAACGTGACGGGACCTGAACACGACACGACAGACTCCTTACCACACTCGGAGGTGACCAAAGGTTGGGAAACAGCCAGGTCTCTTGCCAACCAAAATGTCTTCCTGAAGGACTAAGATGGAAGCTTTCTGTGTCTTTGCAAAAGGTTAGATCAAAAAATTCCACATTGGAGAGGTAAAGAGGGAGGACACTTGTGGGACAGGTGTCTCAACAGTCCCCTCTGGTCACACCAGCAGCATGACCAGGGTGCTGGGTCCTAGCCTGGACAGATGGTGGTGGACCCCACTGGCACCTCCCATTGCGCCAGAAGCTCTGGGATGCCTGGGTGTTCTATGCCTACCATTCTAGCAACAGGCTTGGAGCATGAGGCAGAGGGGCCAGAGAAGGAATTAACATGGGCATTTCCTGCCGTCTCAGAATCCCACCAAGACCTCCTCATGGCACCTTTCCATGGTTCATAGGAAATAAGTAATGATAAACTCTGGCTTTCCCGCTCAACTTTGAAGCCCATGGGAGTAGGCGACAAGGTAAGAGAGATTCAGAAAAATCAAGATCAGAGTACTAAGTAGAGAAAGAAGTATTGTTTGCCCTTTAGCAGTGAGCAGGTCAAACTGATGTTCATCTGGTATCCATTGCTGCCTGTGTCAAAGGAAAACTCATTTTCAGGAGAGCAATGAGTAACCCACATAACCACTAAGATGTGGTTAAAAAATAAAAGGGAAAATTTATTTTCACAATGTTTGGCAAAAATAAATTAAGACTAGCTTGAGCCTTAATCACACATGGATCTCTCCAACAATGATGTATGTATGGGTTTTTCTCTGGGACCCCTTACTATAGAAACAGGTAAGGAGTTGTGCAAGAAAAGTTTCTCTAGTGGGGGCACCAACCAATGCACTGCAAATCAAATATACACATGGGGACCAACGACATCAGTTTGCGTCACTGAAGTGCAAGCCAGATACTCGAAGGCCAATCACCAATGCTGATGGGCTGGGTTGCCTTGACAAACGGTGGGGGGGGGCAACTGCACAGGATCTGTGTTCTCCCCACCTTCTCTGGGGAAAAATTAGAGCAGTTTTAAGCCGAAACTGTGCCAACCATTCCTATGCAAATGTGTGGTGCCTTTCATTGGTATAGGTGAGATTCTCAACAGACAGACACAGTGATTTTGGAGCTCATTCTGTAATGATGAGGACAGGGTTCCCCTCTGCGGTTCAGGGTTAGCATCATGGTGATTAGTCAACTATGCGAGGAAGAGGGGGAGAAGGGGAAGACCAAGCCCAAAGCAAAGCTTCTCAATTCTTCTGTAATTCAGTAATAAACAAATTGCAGAATTATAGAGCCATGTAATGAGCACCCACCCTGAGAAGTAAATTCGTTTGATGGTCAAGATAATGGCATGATGCTGTACTTTACTCTGCTTCTAAACAGTTATAAATATTTTATAATTAACAAACACAGTGCTTATCATTGCAATTTATAACAAAATTTTATAAATTTAAATTGTCATAATAGAATCTCTAGGTTTGAAGAGCCAATAGAACGGGACATAGAAATAAGGGATCTGTTAGAACGAGGGCCCTCTCTGGGCTGGGGCTCGTCCTGGGCGCTTGGTGGCCCGGCCTGGAAGAATGGGCTGTGCTGCAGCTGGTGGTCAGACAATGGGTATTAGCACTGTACACTGGTAGTAACCATACACAACACAGAGTCACAGAAACCACAGAAGACAGCCAGACTACCGACAAGAATGCACACTGCAGATTAGGATTTGCCAAAAGGAATAGAGATTCCCACATAAATAGCAGTTTTCTGACTGCTATTTAGGAAGCAGTTGTATTTTCTCTTACAGTACTGACATTTCCCCTCCCGGGTCCAAATCAGGTACAAATTGCAAGTGTAAGTGGCACTTTTCCCGTCATATCAAAGGACCATATGTACACAATTTTGGGAAGAATAAGAAGTTATTTTGCAAGAACAAAATACAACTGAAAAATTTTGTTTTAAAGGGGAACTTCAAATTATTCTTTTTTTCAATTTCCAGAGGATATGGTATGCACAATATTAAGACCTATTGAGGTATGCGGTTCTCTCTCGACCACATTTAAAAAGCATTCAGTTAAAAAAGTAGTAGCTAAGGGGTCAACTCTCACGCCTTCACGCAGTGCAGGACACAGGTGGTGATGTGGGTTGCTGGTTCTGCCCTGCAACCTGGCACGGCATGCACTCGCCAAGGCTGAGGAGCGACGCTTGGTATTCGCTTTTCTAGTCACCAGCCAGTTCTGCCACCACTATGAACTTTCAGACTCCTTCGAACATTTTACTGGCATTAGTTATCCTACCATCACTGATACGTTAAAATCGATAAGGCTAAATTAACTTTTTTGAATAGTTTTTAGAGACATCAGTTAATATTGAACAGAGCAAACCACTATTCAAATGAACTTGGTTTTTTTTTTTTTTTGGGTTATAAACTTCTAAAGGCTAGATAGCAATAAGGCTGCTTGTATGCTCTCCTTCCCAGTGCTGCCTGGAGGTGGTGAGGGAGGGACATGGTCCAGCTCAGGAACATGCTCTATGTGCTTCCAAACAGCGGCCATAACCTCCACCCCGCGTTGTTCGAGATCTATAATGCTTTTGTTTTCTGTGATTATGCTACTTTCATCATATACCAAAGTCAAACATAGCTTTAAGGGAAAAAACAAACAAACAAACCATAGAAGGACATTTTCCCCTTTAAAGCAAGAACATTTTGGTTAATACTGAGCCACAACTGTTAGCCCAACACCCACACACTCTGTACAAGCTACAGCAAAAAAAATGAATACACCCAGCAGAGCCCTTGTCTGTTGCACGCACAACAGAAAGGGGCCTGGCCAATTTACCTTCATCAGCCTCAATAGCCTCAACAGTAGCTGAAGAGAAGAAAGGGTGCAAATGAATGAGAAAAATGAGCAGAGGATTCTTAACTCTAAGAACAAATCAGTGACGATCAAAGGCGCTAAGAGAACTAACTTTTTTTAAGTGCTGGATTTTGGCACAGACAACAAAGAAATGCTAAAAAAGAAAGGAAAACACCACAGAAAGTGATATGAACTAGATCCATCTACACGAGGAACTGCTTGAGTCTATGCTTGCTACTTCAGTGACAAAGCAACGAGCGCTTTAGGAAAGCGCACTGTGAGTTTTATTTTTTGCAGAAACGTGAACTGAATGCACTGAGGAGGGGTCATGGCAATCTGAAGTGTGGTTCGGGCCTACAGAGCACTAGGAAAGACTTGCTGTGTGTGGCTATTTATAGATTCAAAATGCAGACCAGGGTGGAAGCACAGCCACTTCAGGGGGGTCCTTCGTGCTTCCAGCATAAACACTGCATTGTTTCCCACTGCAACACAAAGGCAAGGGTGCAAATCCAAGGAAAGCTAAAGTCCAAGTGTTCAAGTTCATAGTGCATCTGAATCCCAAGAGACAAACATCTGGGGTTGGAGGTGGTGAGAGGGTGAGAGGGTGAAGGCGAAAGGAAAAGGAACTGTGTGTGTGTGTGTGTGTGTGTGTGTGTACATATATAATGGGCTTTACGTATTTTTTTTGCCAGGAAGACCAACTTAAAATCACTTTCTTTTCTTTGTTGCAATTCGTTTTTGGAAATGAAATATCTGAAATGTTGCAAATCAAATGGTAACATGGCAGTGGCATCAATAATTACATTAAAATTTCAAGAATAGGTTATCTCAATACTGAAACCTCATTCGCGAGATTTTGTAGACATGTCCCAAAACAGCGTATTTCAGAGGCAGAACTGTAAAGGCTCAGTGCTTTATCAGCAATTTTTATAACAAGGTTAGAATCTGTATTTGCAGGCTGCACGTATATTAGTAAGGCAAGCTGCTATTTCTCTAATCAAATGCTAAAATGTAAAATTTCCCTGTAGCTCCACTATGTTTAATGTTAAAATTCTACCCCTTGACTTTAATTTGCATTTTTCTAATAAATTAAGATTTCAGAATTGGAGTAACTGCCAAATACACATTGTAACTTACAGTGCACATTACATTCCTTATGACAAACAGAAAATGGTCACTCCAAGGAAAATCTAAACAGCAGAGCCTCGGGTAGCTGGGTAGCTTCCCTTTTTAGATGAGTGAAAAGGTGTCACACCATTAATTCTGAAGTTATGGTAACATGCGTAGCTTCAAATACATTCTGAGTTTTCTGATGCTCAGGACAAGATCCATATGACTTCTATGTGTCTGTGTGTAGGTGTGTGATGAGTTCAGCCAGAGGGACACAAACCAGTGGGTTTAAAACAAAGGAAACAAAATAACTGAAGTCAAATACACAGATGAAAAATCTGTAAACAAAACAAAGAACCGTGATGAGATCATCAGCAACCCAGGTTCGGGAGCACTGCAGACCCGCACCAGCACCCACACCCGGGTGTGTGCTGTCCGCGGTGCTGCTCGTCTGGCCCTGAGGCCTGCACATGTGCTGCCTGCCACTGCTGCGCTGATACCTGGCCTGGGCAGGGAGGCTGCACTGTGTGAAGTTGGTGAGCTACTACATAAGGCTTTTAAGGTAGGAAAACGTCATCTTTATAAAGTTATTAAAATAACTTCTACCTGTAAATTTAAAGGGAGAATGTACTTTGATACCACGTATTCTCTTATTGTTGTTTAAAATTTTTTAAGTTTGGGGAATTCAAATGCATTAATTTTGGAGTAAATTGGTTGAAAATAAAGTTATGGAAATGTTGCTTGCATCTGATACTTTAACAACACCGTGCCTGGGAAGCTTGTCTTCATTCTCCATGTAGAAGTGTCTAGACAATGTAATGGTAAAAACACCCGAATCTTCAAGGATGAAGGACAGGGATAGAACAAAAACATGAAAAAGACTAGGGACATGTAAAAGAAAATAAACAAGAGGCTGAGATTGTTCTAAAATGTTGGAGTATCCTTTTAACTTTTTTCTGGTGAAGTCTAACAGCAAAATTTTCCCATTGTTACAATGATAATCGAATGACAACACTAGTTAAGCCTGGAACAAAAATGACAGCAGTGAGACAGCAGTCCAGCACTGTCTAACACAGCTAGCGCCAGGCACACAGGCTGTTAATTACATTTAGTGCACATGAGTGCTTCTGCAGCTGTCCCAGCCACATGTAGATCAAATACTCACTAGTTTTATGCGGGCAGAGACTCTGCAGATTCACAGAAACTTCCACTGTTGCAAAAGTTCCATTAAACAGCACTAGTCCAGAAAGCCATACTTTTAATACAAAATCTCCAGGTGGCAGGAAATACTATCACTCTTTTTCAAAAATAAAATGTGGTTCTTGTATTTTAGGATGGCAATCAGAGAAAAAACATAGGGCTCCTGACTTCAAGTGGAAAATGAAACTAACCTCTTTATACTCTGTCTTCCAATAAAACTTAGCATTATGGATGTATATTTGTGTATGTACTTGCATATCTTTCAACCGACAATGACTATGAACAATGGAATAAGAACTTGTTCTGGTGAATGACTGGCTCACAGTGCTCAACCTATTGGGAAAGAGGCTACCTGAAGTGCTATTTGGTAGCCAGACAAAATGCAAATGAGGGACAGAAGTGCAAACCAAGGATCAGTATGCAAATGAAGGCCAGTATGCAAATGAGGGTCTGGGGGCTAAGACCATCCTTCAGTGGACAGGCGCCAGTGTCTCCAGCAGGCAGGGCTGATCCAGGTGATGGGTGCAGTCTTCTTCCATCCAAGCTCCAGAGAAAGGACAGGGCTTGAAGGAATCCCAAGTGAGGGTGCTGCCCAGGTCTGGGTCACCTATGGGTGCTTACCGCTTTGCAGGGTCTGCTTGCCTCCTGAGAGTACGCCACTGGGCAGCATGCCGGTGGGGGTCAGGCCCTTCAGTGTCAGCACGCTCTCGCTCTCCTCTCTGCAAGGCATTCACAGGGCAGCAATTTTACTTTACTTATGGAGAACAAAGGACTCCACGGGAAACATGCAGCAGCAGAACGCTTGTGTACCTCTAGTGGGCCCTCTGGACCTCCTTTTAAACCTAGAATACGCCACGTCTGTGTACACTTGTACAGGAGTAATGCCAAGCGTCTGCGGGGACCAGGTCACAGTGCACTCTCCAGTAGGGTCTTCAGCGCGTCTCCCCATTAGAGCAGGGCCCAGCAGCAGGAGGGGGTAGCTCTCCCTCAGACCCAGGCCCAGGGATGGCTTTGGAGACTGACAGGGGCTTCTGTCTTCACACAGAGGAGGCAGAAAGCGACGGCTCCAGGCCAAGCGGGAAAGGGTAGAGTCTCTTAGACTCCCTTTTGTCACTTTTCCCCCTGATTTGCTACTGTAAGATTACTCACGATTCACTGTGACAACTGTGTAATAATTAGTAAGTGCATCAGCGTTTCAATTGTATTTGCTTATCATTAGACACTTAATCATTCTGATTTGTGAATAAGATCTAATGATTAAATCAACATGAAATGGGAAATGAGAGAATGACCTCCTATGTCTTACGCAGGCAGAAAAGCTTATAGCCCATAAACATACATACACACGTGAATATATTATATATGCAATATTCAAAGTATAACTGTTCAGCATTTTTACAAAGATTTTTAGAAAGTTTGAGAACCTGTTACCTCCACAATTAGTTTTCAACTCAGAATTGCAAGTTCTCTCTTCCAGATGCTTAAGCTTCTGTCTCCTTCCGTATCCACTCCTTCACAGATCTTGCTGGTTTTCCCCTCTAACTGTTCCCAGTCTCTTACCACTTCTTGTGAGCCTACTGTCCTATCTCCTTAGGAAACAGCTTCTTTGTGGGACTTACATCACCTGTTTACAGTTTAGGATGGGAAGAATGTGCTTTGTACATCTACGGACTGCTCCAGCCACCCCCACCACCAGTTTCAGAGCACGCGACCCCCAGCAGCAGCAGTCAGCCCCAAGGCGGGCAGGCCTTGCCCCAGCCCCCCGATTCCGGGCTCCCTCCCAGCCGCTGTGCTGCGCTGCCTTCAGGTGTACCCTATTTCCTTTATCCTCCTTCCCTTTGCCTATTCTACTTGTGTCTAAAACGTTTATCACGGAAGAAGCTTCTCTTTACTTCTTTCATGTTTCTTCTAGTGCCCCTGCCATCCACAGGGACTAGACCAGCTTCAGCAGGGTGGTGCTGCTGTCCTCGCGGCCACACTCATACTCTGGGATGAGCGCGTGGACCACATCTGTCAAGTGCTTACTATGAGCAAGCAAAAGACTGGCTGAAGCCAGCATGGGGATGCCAGCCACGCTTTAGATTTCTGCTTCCTTCACCACAGAGTTCACTAAAAGTGTGCCAGGGATGAGACAGTCAGTTATTTACTGCCAATTTGGAGGTAGGCATTTCAGCCTGGAATTCTCAGGCTTTACTGACCAAGCACTAGAATCACTGAAGGAAGACATGTTGGCGGGCTAACACCCGGGAATGCTGCTCAGCAGCTAGGGGGTGGCCCAGGCTTCACCTCCTGTGCTCGGATCTCAGGGTCAATGGAGACGAGAGGCCCGAACAAAACAAGCTAAGCTATCACACCGAGACCTGCTGAACTGTTGTTTTCTTAAACCAAACACAATATTTCTTGTTAACTTGTATTTTTTTTAAACTTTCAATTGTGTTCCACTTCCATCACTATAGAAAGTCTCCGGAATGGGATCGCACACCCCTCAGGTTAAAATCTGAGTCATCTGACAGAGCTGCAGCTTGCTGGGCTTCAGCCTGCTCCTGTGAAATCATGTCCATCATTACCCGGTTCCTTGCAGTCAGTGATAAGCCATAGACAGAGCCCCTTCTTTCTTCATTCACTTGTTTCCTCCCTGGTTCCGCCTCCCACAGGAGACTCCTGAGGCGTCTGTGTTCCCAGGCCTCTGCCCCTTCTCATCTGCACAGTGCCGCTTCCCCTCAGACCATGCCCTCCTGCAGCAGGGGCCCTGGTCCTGTGACAGTCCTTTAACATGATCAGCCCTGGGTCGCTCCATCTCCTGCCCTGGCTGCCGCCAGCAAGGCCAGCACGAGCTGCGACATGCAGCATGCAAACGGGGCCTGTGTTCATCGACTGGTGTGGAAAAGGAGGACAGAGTCTCTCCTTGGAGGTGCTCCACTGATTACAGATGACACGTCTGATATCTGAGAATCTACACTTGCTTCCTCCTCCTGGGCACTGTGGTTCGCGGAGTGTCTGCAATGATGGAGACACTGGGGAAAGCAATCAGGGCCAGGTTTACCCACGTCTTTCCCTTCCCAGGGACTGTGCTTCCTCCCCGCTGCTCCCCGTCTCTACTCTCAGCCCTCCTGCTCTTGGGCTGCATCTCCCGAGTGCTCTGCTGCCCTGCATCCTGCTTTGCAGTCTTTAGGTAAACCTGGAGATGCAGAGACGGAGGCCAAGGCGCTGTCACCGCTTGCACCTCCAGTCCCCTTCCAGTGTGCTCCCTCTCTCATACAGCTGCTCACAGCCAAGAGTGGGCCCGTGTCCGAAGGGGAAGAGAGCAATTGGTAATGGAAGGGGCTCTGCCTGTCACTGCTGTGAACAGCTGCCTGCCCTGGCTACATTGAGCATGTGCCTGGCTACCAAAGGCTGAGCTGCACCTTCTCAGACTCCCCACCTGACCCAGGGCTGCCCCCACCTGTGCTGCCTAAGAGGCTCCTCTGGGAACAAAGGACCCAGGCAACCCTTACTGCAATGCCTGCTAGAGTCAGCTCTGGGACCCAGGTGCATGTCTGGGAGCTGGTCCTGACAAGTCTGCACTCCCAGTGCGCAGCAGGCTCATAGATGTTAGCTTTTCCAGTTCCTGTTTGTCTCTTCACCTTCCTCCTCACACAGCCTGGCCCAACGCACTGCCTGGACTTTCCAGTAGCTTCCTAACTATTCTTTCTGCTACCACAGCCACTGTGCTACGTGGTTCTCACGCTGGTGCTGGCAAATGTATCCAGATGTGAGTGATGACAGCACAGCTGTCATCAGTGAGGATCATGCAGGACTCCTCACTGTCTATGCACGGGAAACTCAATGTTGGCCACAGTACTGAAGCCTATAGCACCTGGACTTCAGAACATCTGTAGCTTGTTTTTGCTTGGTTCCTCGCTGGACCCTGCTCAGTCCTTTTACATGCTTACAAACCTATTCCCAGATGAGCACTGTTACCCAGAATCCTCTAGACTGCTACTGCTCCCCAGCTAAGTGAATTTGGATCTGCTGCTTGGTCTCTCTGCTTGCCATAAAGGGAAGTCACCATGACCTTGGCAATCAGCCATATGGATCTCTGGTAACAGTGCACAGCACAGGGCACAATGCCTGGCCTTCAGCAAGCCCCTCACAGGAGGACGCCATTAGCACCTCTGCTGGCGACCTCTCCTGGCCTCACTCAGGATGCAGCTTTGCAGAGTGTAGCCTGTAACTGCTTCTGACTGACCTCTCTAGGTGCACTCCTTGTGGAAACACAGTTTCCCTAGAGTCCCTGTGCTGGCAGAGTCAGAGTGTACCTGCTCAGCACACACATCATGCCATCTGCCAGGCCAGAAGCTTGTCACTCCACCAAGGACATCATTCCTGCCCTGTCACACCCATATTCACAACTAATGCTGATCATGATGCTGGGGCTTGCAGCGGTCTCCTCTGGACAGGACCCTCTACTCTGCATGTAGATCATGGGGTTCCAGCACAGCACAGCCGTGGCACACAGTAACACAGTCCTTGTTTTGTTTTCCATTGACAAGCATGAACTTTGGTACTGGGTCACCACTGGGCTCAGAGGCCACCTGTCAGATATCTGAGAACAGCCGTGTTCAAGCATGCAGGGCACTGGCAGGCTGTCCAGTGTAGAGACCCACATGATCCTGGAGCTTTAATTCTGCCACTTTCTTGTGTTTTTTCAATGCACAACACAACTTCTTATAGAAAGAGAGACTTCTTTTCCTGAACACAGCTTCACTTGGAAACGCTGGGGCTGTTTTTGTTTTCTCTCCTCCAGACTTCAGATGGAAGTCAGAATCCTGCTCCCTTGGTCTTGTGGTCCTCGGGACTGCCAGGCTCTTCCAGATGAGCACTGGCACTTGCTGCCCCCCTCTCCTTGAACTCACTGTTCCAATGTCTGTACCTTTGCTGAACAGACAGTAAAGTGAGTGCTAGCCCCAAACTGCTTTACTTTCTCTTCCGGGTCATGGCCAACGTTTTAGGTTTTACTTGGGTTCTTTACTGTGTGTGAGCCCCAAAGGTTAGCTGCAAAGGGAGCCATGACTGTAAGTGCGATCTCATACCCTGAGCTGGAGCAGGATGCGCTGTCCCAGTGTCTGTGGGACACCTCAGGACCCAGCATCTCGCTGGCTTTGCCTGGTCTGTGAGCAAGGACATGGCGTCTTCCACTGTCCTTGGGGCTCCCTGCTTTCCGAAAGGGTCACTGAGTCACTCACAGTGATGACCAGGAACAGGATAGCAAGATGGAAAAAGGAAGGCAGAGAGCCAGCATAGCTCCGTGTGAGAGAAAACTAAGGCAAAATGGCAGAGTGAGACGACGAGCCCATCCAGGACGTAGGTGGGCGTCTCCCGAGGTGGCCTTGCTCCCCTGGTGGCCTGTGTTGCTGGGAACGCACTGCACTTTTTCCATATAAGCACAACACGTTTCAAAGCAATCTTTAGAAGAGAGATCTAATTAATGTGTATTATCTAGTTACTCATCATCAAATTTCAGTAAAGTGCAGTGAATTCCCTTCAAGAAAACACTTGCCTTTTTCGAAGTCCAAGCTTACACAGCATTCATAATGTGCTTTAAAAAACACACACATGCAAAACAAAAATACAGGAACTGCAATGTTAAGTAAGTGTCCCTCTCTAGGTGATTCATCAGAATCATACGGTTCCCATGCACAGCCGAACAGTTTATGCCCATTTCCTAGCAATCCAGTGAAATGTACCCTGATGAACCCATCTTTGACCATAAAGCCAAAATGAAAAATAAAAACAATCCTAACAGGTTTCTCTGTCTCACAAGATGTATAACCCATCCTGAAATGAATGTTTTAAAATCCTGCCGCAGAGGTATAAGATGTGGTGCAATCTGTCTATAGACATTTTCCTTCACAGAAATAATTTGGTATACTGCAACTGAAAGGGTACACGGAGTGAACTATTGGAGAGAAGCAACACTGACTGCTAAGCTGTTTATGTTACCAGATTAAGGCACAGGAACAGTGGAGCCCACTGAGTGAGACTCAGCAACACTCAAAGCAGGAGAGAGGACTGGGCCCCACCTGAGAACTGAGAACACCCTGGCCATCTTCCCGATGGCGCGGATCTTGTTCCGAATCACCTCCTTTCGGGCCGCTGCCGTGGCTCCTGTATTGGGAAGAGAGTTTGGCAGTCAGGGACTTGTTATCTAACTGTGATGACCTGTAAAGTTACACAGGAGACAGACAACAGTAAGCCAAATCAGTCTTGTTTTTCTTCTAAGACATTCATGTTTAAATCCAATCTGAAAACCCATGCGCGTGGCCATGAATGCCAGGTATGATTCGTGAGGTGTCTCCAAAACTCCAGAGCTGCTGAGAATCCCTCATGCCCATGCTCGGAAGACTGCTTTGGACAGTTTCACACCCTGCCCTCTTGAGGCCATTGCGCCAGGGCGTCTCTCAACCCCCTGTCCCCGTGGAAAATCATATATATCATTTCCTGTCCTAAAACATTTCTTTCAGCAGTTGGCATACTTTGTTCTATTTGGTTCACAAGTTCTGGAAGCAAAGTGAAAACTGAACTGAGTTTAGCATGAGACAGACATGTTATTCACATTAACGAGTTACATGTAAGTTTTAGAACAATCCATTTTACATATAAAAATTAATTTATTCAAATTACATTTATTATATGCATTTTCCTTTTAAAATCTTTTATTACTATGGGGTCTTTAATGAATCCATTTTATTGTTCATCAATCCTCAAAATATATTTGTACAAACAAACATCTCTCAAGATTTTTACAATTCAAAGTAAAAAAGGAAGATATCATTTTATATAAGGAAAAAAGAAGCTATCGCTTACATATATTACCTGAAACTTTGTAGATAGCATTAGTACAAGCAAATTCTCCTATTTCCCTGCCTCAAACTGGTATTTGACAAAACATTCTTTTGAGTTAATATCAACAATGTCTTTTATCAAAAAGGACAATTTTCTTCATATAATCTGCTGAGACTGGACTCTATAGGTGATAACTAGTATGTGATTTGGTCTCTTAACCTGTGATAAGAACAGATATTCTGGTGTTTTCTGAAAGAAAGATTTCTGCCATTTCTCTTAGAGGTCTTTTATGAATGCAATTTGGAAACTTTTCCATTGTTTGATAAGGGCCAATTAATTACTGCCCTAACATTCTTGCAAGACTGAAAACTTTCAACAACACAAACAATTTTGAAATGGCTGGTGACAAGGCTTCTACTTTTTGCCCCACTTTAAGAAAGTTAAAACAACATGCTTCACTGGAATTGGTTAATTTCTAGAGGTAGACACCAAAGCATGTCCCCTCTCAGATGCACGCGCAGCCCAGGCTGGAGGCTGGTAGGCGAGGGCATCTTGGCAGCAGCCCCCTGCACCGAGGCAGGGCATTTCCTACACATCTGGTGGGAAGCACTTCCTGCTGCCAGCTCCTCTGGCTGCACAGGGCCGAGGAAGTGAACAGCTAGGTGACCACAGCCTTTCTGTGGCCTCTCTGGTCCACCAGGAGAGGCACTCGCTTTAACCCAGCTCCCTGAATCAGTATCCACTGATTAGAAGATCAAGGAGGGGACTAAAGGTGTGAGGATCTCTGCCTCAAGCAGTAGTTGTTATCTCTGCTTTCGCGCTCATGAAAATGTAAAAGAGCCCAAGAGAGTATGTAGATTAATAGGTAACTGAGTTTAAAGGAAGCAGCAAGATGGGATGGAGTTCAGAGTAGGTATCCTGGTGCACTCAGCATTGCTAGTCCCTGTTTTTAATGTTTTCTAGACTGAGCTCTTCTGTGAAAATGTTCCACCACAAGTCCTCAAAGTCCCTAATTCAGAAGAAGATCAAGGAAAAGAACACGTCTTCCAGACTCTTACTACCTGCAACATGCAGCTAGAGCGTCACACTGAATATTCTCAGCACTGCTCTGCTTAAGTTACAGCAATGTACTATGGTTGCTCCAATTAAAATTCAGAAATTAAGGACTGAAGACAGAAAATAACATATACAAAAACTGTAATAATTACTTTTCACTGAAGAGAATACAACCTCTCATTTTAACCTGGGAGTGCAAAGTTACAACCAAACTACCCAGCCTGCCCCAGTTCAGGGACAGAGGCATGAGACCAGGAGGACTGTGATTCACAGGGACACCTTTCACAGTGGACACAGCCATAGTGCAATGAAGTTCTGGAAGTCAGCGGGTGAACAGGTGCCCGAGGAGACCTTACCAACTCCATGTACGTGCTGGACACTTGGATGTGGTCACAGGAAAAAAATTTGTGCCCTGGAAACTGGCAAGGGTGGACTGCATCACCCCAGTGGGTGCTCACTGCTGTGAGAAGCGAGAGAGCTCCTTGAAATGTGATGAGGACTGATACTGGCCCATCCTGTGGATGTGGGAAAAAGAACAGCCTCCACAGGGAGGCAGCGATGGGCAAGTCCGTGACAAGTGGAGTCTGGTCCTTGGGAATGGGGAGGTCTAGCGACAGGGGACGGGAAATGCTGGAGCTTCAGCAGAGCAAGACACTCAGACAGCAGCAGACGCATGACAGGGAAGCAGAACTTACTCTGTCGGGTGCCAAAGATGGAAAGAAAGAGTCAGAGGGATGCAGGAGTAGAGAGATGCACAATAAACCCAATGCTGTGAAACCTGAGTTGTAGAAAACTGAGAAATGGTGTATTGCTATCAACTTGTACAGTTCATTTCCCTGTTACGTTTGAAACAGTTTGTAATCAAATGTAGAAAAATGATACTATGCTTAGAACCTTGGTTTTGAAGGGGAAAGGGAGGGGCAGGTTTCGGGGGAGGGTCTTGGAGTCTAGCTCTTCAGCCACGGAGAAGAGGCACAAGGGAGACTCCCCCTTTTGCAGTTCCAGGAGGCAACCAGACTGGGAGGTTCCCTCTGAAAGGCCCATCTGCAGGCTCTAATCCATTTCAGATCATCTTCACAGCTCAAAGAGAGGAAACTGAACAGCCACACGGAATTTCAACTCAAATATGCTAGCAAGTAGGAAGTTTCATATTATTAGCCTTGAGAAAGCTGTGAGAAAGATAGTTACTGTTACCAAATATGCTCTTGGATAGAAAAATGCCCAGTTTCTGCTTCTGTGTTACTACATGGGCCATGATTCTTCTGTTGTTACCTAGCTGTCCTTCTTTACAGGGCTTGAAATACTACAACCATATACATAGCATGCATATTCAAATAATGGGTTGCACAAAAATACATGTTTAAACTAACATTTCATACTTTTTCAAAGAACATATATTTTAAAATATATATTCTGCTGGTGTATCTCAAATTCAATTTTTTTTGGTACCAGGGATCAAACTCACAACTTCACATTTATTAGGAAAGCACTTTAGCTGCTGAGCTAAATACACAGCCTATAAATTTTTAATTTAAACTTTAAGAAAATGATCTTTCTTTTACCTCTCTATTTAACCAAGTTTGTTAAAAGTTAAAATTCATCTCTGCAGCAGATGATGTCTACCTCAAAGAAAAATTTTATCACAGATTATTATTAGTAGGCAGAATTCAGATATAGCTGCAGGCTTTACGTTCCCCCAAACAGAACAATTACTGAATATGAATAAAAGCTATTAATGGAATGAAGGATAAGGTGCTGAGGTAAGAAATATTTTGGGATTAGTTACACTAAAAACTAAAATGGATTTGGTTTCCATCCAAAAGTAACACCTGTGAGACACAGAATACAATGCAAAAGAGAGGCCATAACCTCAGATTCATCTCCTTGATTACGAAAATTACAAACACAGTCTTCTGACTTGAGTGAACACCTGGCCCAAATCCAAGGCAACCCCTGCACTGTAATCCCTAAATCTTATTCCCCCGCCCTCTAATCCTTGAAGATGGTCTAACAATAATGCACCCTGACTGTCTGCAGCAGCCGTATGTCCAGGAAGGGCACTTCTCAATGTTATGACCACACCCATTTGTTTCTCTCCAGCTGTGAGCTGTGACCAGTGCCTTATTATGTATTCCTACATCACCAGGTTCCTGAGGCCATGGTATAAGGGGGTCATAAACACGAGGGAACTGCGTTTATGCTAATGGAACAGCTTCCAAACAGTGGCCTGTACCATTTTCACTTGGCCAGCTCAAAAGAGTATCTCCCAATGAATATGATTCCCAACTTCAAGTTTAAAAGTGGAAAAGCACATAATATTAACACTTGTCATTTTAAATGAGAGGCCTATATTATTCCATGGCCCATTGCGTGTTCGGTGTTAGCAACTTAATCTCCAGCAAAAATCTATGGACAAGATCCTCAAGGATGCTTGCACATCTTTTTATCTTTTGTCTTTTAAATTGTATTTCAATGCTCTTGATTTTACTCTACTGCATTACATATTTAAACATTAAAGGGCCTCTCTGGTGAACCCGCAGGAGGCAAGTGGAGAAGTGTGGAAAAAAGCTGTACCGAGGCCCCACTGCCAGCTCAGGCGTGTCCTCAGGCCCATGGCTCTGGAAGGAGAGCATGCGGAGTCCTAGGCTAGCGACTTCCCTTGGGGGGTCTCTGTGTGGTCTCCGACAGAAGGGCTGTTCCAGTAAGATTGAGAACACCAGTTTCCAGAGGGCACAGCTGTTGACCTCCTTGACTGGTCAAAAGCTTAAGCACCCTGCACTGCCACACATGCAGGTCATGACTCAAAGACGCTGGGTGCAGCTGTATTTGGAGAACATTTCTACTTGAACTCCAACCCCGCTGCCTTATCCGCCCAGGTGAACTGGAACATGACCGTCACTCACTGTAAGCCACTCCAAACCACACACTCTGAGGATCTTCCACATGGTTTTTCACTCAGCTACAATTTCAGCATGAAACAGTGTAACAGTGCGAGATCTGGCATGAGGCTGTTCTGTCTTGTATCATATTTCAAAAGCACAGACAACTTTTGAATATAAATTTTAAAAATAAAAACTCTCTGCTGGGTAACAGAAGGTCAGCATAGGCTGGAGACTGCTGGTGCCAAAGCTACGGAGCATATGCGCCAGCGGGCTGCTTGTTATCATGGAAAGCTCTGGAAAGTTCACCATCACTGGCTAGACTCTGCTTCCCCACTGCGCTAAGTCATAAGAAACAACAGATTTCTTTGGAGAAAAAGTCCTATA